GGGATGTGTATCCATGCAATGGAACACTACTACTCATCAGTTAAAGGGAATGAACTGACACATGCAACCATGGATGAATCTTAAAACAATCGTGGAGAGTAAAAGAAGCCAGACCCCCCATAAACCCACACAGAAAGGGTACATACTGTAAGATACTACATATATGGAATATTCTAGAAAATGTAAACTAATACATAGTAACAAAGCAGATCGGTGTTTGCCTGGGGATGGGGACCTGGTGAGTAAGGGATTATAAAAGAGCACAAAAAGCTTTAGGGTGCTGGATGTGTGTTATCTCAACTGCAGTGATAACTTCATAAGTGTATACACTTATCAAACTGTACACTTTAAATACAGGCACGTTACTGTAGGACAGTATGTCTCAATACTGTTGTAAAAAACCGCACCAGAAATATTTATTTTCTTGATTATGACCATCAATTAACAAACCACTGATATTCATGGGGCACGGCTAATTCTAGGACTGCAGCTCCCTAGCTTTGAGAAGTCAGTTTTGGGAGTGATACCAAAAACCAGGTAAAATCCTGGGGAATATTAGATAGAAGTGATCAGAAAATATATTCTTAAAAGCAAATAACTCTACAAACTGCCCTAGGTCTTAAAGTAATTTAGATGCCTTTCCAAGAAAAAGGAGTTTCAAAGAAGAAAGTCACTCTCCTGGCAAAGAGGAAACATCCTAACATTGTAAGTTTCTTCAGTTCATTTCATAGTTGGGACTCTTACTGTTTTAATGTATTTTAGTAAAGTACTGGCATGGTGATTTATTTAAGACCTACGATAACAAGGGTGCCTGAGTGGCTCAGTCCGTTAAGTGTCTGCCGTTGGCTCGGGTCATGATCCAGGGTCCTATGATGGAGCCCCACATCAGGCTCCTTGCTCAGCGGGGAGCCTGCTTCTCCCTCTCCCTCTGCCTGCTGTTATCCCTGGTTGTGCTGTGTGTTAAATAAACAAAATCTTTAAAAAACAAAACAAAATAAAACAAATTAATCCATGTAATATACCACATTATCAGAATAAAAGAATCACAGAAATCATTTCAATACACGGAGGAAAAAACATAAAACAGTGATTTATGACAGAAAATTTCAGTGAACCAGGAATAAAAGGTCACCTCCTCAACTGATAAAGGGCATTTATAAAAACCTACTTCAGCTACTATAATTCTTAATGATGAAAGTGATTACTCTTCATGGTGAAAAACTGAACCCTATGATTAGGAAAAAGACAGAAATACTCAATTCTTCTATTCAACATTGTACTGGAGGGTCCTAACCAGTATAGTGAGATGAAAAAAATATTAAGACAAATACAGACTGGAAAGGAAGAAGTAGAGCTATCTTTATTAGTAGATGACATTAGTATGTACAAGGAAAATCCTAAGAAACTCACCAAAAAGCTGTTAGGACTAGTTCACTATTAGTTACCTTAGCAAAGTTTCAGGACACAAAATCAATACACAAAAATAGTGTGTTTGTGTAACAGCAACGAGTAATTGGAAAGCTAAAAATCGCAGTAGAAAAAACAAAGTACTTGAGGTAATTTCATGAAATATGTACAAGACCTCTGCTCTGAAAAATATAAATTATTGCTGACAGAAAAAGGCCTGACTACATCCAGAGATAAACCATATTCATGGATTGGAATACCCAGTATTATTATGACGTTCTAGTCTCTCTAAACTGGCCTATAGATTCAGGGTAATCCTAAACAGAATCCCAGTTGAGTTTTTTTATAGAAAATGGAAATTAGAAATTCCCCTAACATTTGTATGGAAGAGCAAAGTTCCTAAAATGGACAAATATTCTTTTAAAAGGACAAAGTTGAAAAACCAAGAGTACCTGAATTTAAGATTTCCTATAAAACTCCAGTAAATAAGACCATATTAGCATAAACATAAACAAATAGATTGACAGAACAGAAATAAACTCATATATACTTAGGCATGCAACTGATTTTCAACAAAGGTTGCAATGTAATGCAATGGGGAAAGGAAAACTCTTTTAATAAATGATGAACAACCAGATCTCCATATGGGATAAAATGAATCAACTCCTACCTCTCACCACTCATAAAAGTTAACTTGAAAAGATCACAGACCTAAATCCAAAGGCTAAAATTATAAAGCTTCTAAAAGATAATTAAGGAGACTGTCTTCACAATCTTGAGATAGCTAAGACATTCTGGGTAGGACCCAAGAAGTACTAACCATAGAAAAAAACTGATAAATTAGACTTTGTAAAAAAAAAAAAAAAATTATCAAAAGATACTGTATGCCACAAAGATAAACTCGAAATAGACAAAAGACCTCAACATGAGGCAGGAATCTATCAAAATCCTAGAAGAGAACATAGGCAGTAACTTCTTCGACATCGGCCACAGAAACTTCTTTCAAAGTATGTCTCCAAAGGCAAAGGAAACAAAAGCAAAAATGAACTTTTAGGACTTCATCAAGATCAAAAGCTTCTGCACAGCAAAGGAAACAGTCAACAAAACAAAGAGGCAACCCACGGAAGGGGAGAAGATATTTGCAAATGATACTACAGACAACGGTCTGATAACCAAGATCTATAAAGAACTCCTCAAACTCACCACACACAAAACAGATAATCACATCAAAAAATGGGCAGAAGACATGAACAGACACTTCTCCAAAGAACACATACAAATGGCTAACGGACACATGAAAAAATATTCATCATCACTAGCCATCAGGGAGATTCAAATCAAAAACCACACTGAGATGCCACCTTACACCAGTTAGAATGGCCAAAATTAACAAGACAGGAAAGGTGTGTTGGAGAGGATGTGGAGAAAGGGGAACCCTCTTACACTGTTGGAGGGAATGCAAGCTGGTGCAGCCACTATGGAAAACAGTGTGGAGATTCCTAGGAAATTAAAAACAGAGCTTCCCCACGACCCTGCAATTGCACTACTGGGTATTCACCCCAAAGATACAGATGTAGTGAAAAAAAGGGCCACATGTACCTCAATGTTCATAGCAGCAATGGCCACAGTCGCCAAACTGTGGAAAGAACCAAGACGCCCTTCAGCAGACGAATGGACAAAGAAGATGTGGTCCATGTATACTATGGAGTATTATGCCTCCATCAGAAAGGATGAATACCCAACTTTTGTAGCAACATGGACGGGACTGGAAGAGATTATGCTGAGTGAAATAAGTCAAGCAGAGAGAGTCAATTATCATATGGTTTCACTTACTTGTGGAACACAAGGAATAACACAGAGGACATGGGGAGATGGCGAGAAGTGAGTTGGGGGAAACTGGAGGGGGAAATGAACCATGAGAGACTGTGGACTCAGAGAAACAAACTGAGGGTTTTGGAGGGGAGGAGGGTGGGGGGCTGGGTGAGCCTGGTGGTGGGTATTAAGGAGGGCACGTATTGCATGAGCACTGGGTATGGTGCATAAACAATGAATCTTAGAACACTGAAAAGAAATAAAATTACAAAAAAAAAAAAAAAGAATAAAGATAGTGTATGAGAATCAAAGGGCATGCTGAAGACGGGAAGAAAATATTCACAGTGTATGTGTCCAACGTAAGACCTGGATCTAGAATATACAAATAGAGCTCTTACAACTTAATGATACAAACTCCAACCACAAGATGGACAAAAGACTTTAGATCATTTCTAGAGTAAAATATACAATGGCCCAAATGCAGACGAAACAGTGCTCAACGGTCATCAGTCATCAAGAAAATACAAATTAACACTAAAATGACCACGTCACACTCACGGTAATAGCTAGAATTAAAGAGCCCATCACCTCCAAACGTTAAGATGCTACAGCCATTTTGAAAAATAGTTCTTAAGTCTTTACGAAGTTCAACCCTCTCCCCTACGACCGAGCATTTTACTCCCTGGTGTTTATCCAAGAGAAATAAACACATGCGCCCTCAAAAAGCCTCCTACAAACACCTTCATAGCAGCTTCATTCTTAAGAGCCTAAAACAGGAACCAACCGAAATGAAGCAGCACAGGGCTAAACCAAGGGTGGGGATTTTCACAAAAAGGAACACGGCTCAGCAGTCAGGCAGAATGAACTGATTTACACAACACCGTGTACGGGTCTTATAGACATTTTGCTCAGCGAAAGCAGCTAGACACAGGAGTACTGTTATACAACTCCAGTTATAAGGACTTCTGTAGTCAGTGTAGGTTCTTCTAAATACTCTCCTCAGACCCAGGGTCCCCAAGCCAGAGCCCTAGGTACCACCTGAAGCCAAGCCCTGCCCCTAGTTCCGCATAGAACCCAGTGGCATACAGACCTCCAGATCCAAAGGGCTGTTTCAGCCTTGGCAAACCAATCCTTGGTTGGATCTAGCCGAAATCTCTCATACCCTCCTTGCCCACATCTCGGGGATCTAAGGATGGAGCCCCCTCTGACACCGAGGAGGGAAGCTGTCAAACAGGAGACTGGAAGGCTGGGATGTCCCACATGAAGGGCCATTAGAACTCTTTTCTTCCAGACCAAGGGAGAAGGGAGAGACTGAGTGCCAGAGACAGGATGGGGTCTGCCCAAGGTCCTACAACCCTGAGACCCAGCTGATTAAAACCCAGGGCTTCTGAGTCTTGGCTTAGTGCCCCTTCTAGCTTTCTACCCACTCCACCAGCAAGGGCAAAGAGGCAGCTGTCTTGTCTCCTTGGCCGTGGCTTAGCGGCATCACGTAGCACCGAGTCTCAGGAACCACGCATTGTAGAAGGGCTCAGAGGTGAGGACAGGACCACTGAAGGAAGCGGATGAGTGATGCCCGCCATGAGCTGACCGAGGGTGACTCAGGCTTTTGGCTTTCCCAGCTATGCCAGCTACTACAGTAAGGTGGCCCAGGTCAGACCCAGACATCTGGGGATTGCCCCAGGGCCAAGCTCACCTTCGTGGTCACCCTCCTCTAGCAAAGCCTTCACCTTGGGGCCGGCCCACCCCTCCCCCACCACCCACCAACCAGAGAAGGTACTCACTGATGGGGGCGTGTAAGGCCACATGCTCCTGGTAGGGTGTGTAGTACTTGTACTGCTTTCCACAGAATTCACAGGTGTAATTGCCAGTTTCTGTCCAAGGAGAGGAAAGCGTGGGAATGGGCGCCCGGGTCCCATTGAGAAGCAGCAGCATGCTCCCTCCCCTCCAGCTCCCCCTCATCCTGGGACCAACTACAATCAAGAGCACGCTGGAGTCAGACCGCCTGGGTTCAAGTCCCGGCAACTCCACGTCAAGCTGTGTGACCTTGGGCAAATCTCTTAACCTGTCTGTGCCTCAGTTTTCCTATCTGTAAACGGGGGGTAATAATAGGACCACCTTCTAGGATTGCTGTGAGGATTAAATTTATACGTCAAGTATTTAGAACAGTACCTGGCACACGCTGTTTCTCCAACACTCCACCCCCAGGCCCTGGTGCTCAGGAAATGTGTGGTGACCTTAGCTGACCCCCCAGTGCCAAGCTCGCATTCACCCCCTTTCCAAGTCCTAGTCTCTGCAATGGTCACGCTTGGGTCCCCTCGTCTCCAGGACCTTCCCCGCCCCCAAGCACCCCCACCCCTCCCCAGCAGGAGGGGTCACGTCTTCCTCTCGGGTCCCACCAGACTTTATCTTTACCTCTCTTTTGGCACTGCCTAACTTCTTTCTTCTTAAAAATTTCTGATGTAATATTGTTCACTGGGGGAAAATTATAAAATACTGATAAATATAAATACAAATACAAGATTTAAAGAGTAAGAGAAATTTCAGTCATCTGTCACCCCCAAACAAAGAGCAGCAGCTACCCCTTGGGAGTGGAGTGTGCAACCTTGCCTTCCGCCCCAGGCTCCATCCCTCTACTCCCATCTCATCTGGAGCACACTTCTCTCCCTGACATCATCTGTCTGGCTCCGGTGGGCACTGAATTAGCCAGCCCTGATCCATATCCTCTTTGTAACCTGGTGTATGCAATCGACAACACTTTGTGGACATTTTGCTCAATCAATAAACATCGATCCCTACTGCATTTATTGGCTGTATGCATCCCACTGGACTCTGAAATCTGCTGAGCCAGCCTCCTACACCGGGGGATGTTTGGATTGTTTCAAAATTTCTCCCTTACCAAAAAAAAAAAAAAAAAAAAAAAGCTGTGATCCGCATCCCTGAGAAATGTCTGCCCAATTTGCTCATTATTTTTCATATCACTGCAAAATAAGGATTATTGTGCATAATTGCTGCTCATTATTTCCCCGGAATAAATTAAGGGTAGGCATTTTTAAGGCTTTTGATAACCACAGCACCAACTACATATCAAAAGGTTGGGCTAATTTTCATCCCAATCAGAAAGATGGGCCTTACAGAAAGGAACTATACGGCGCTGCTGCTTTCATTTTCCATTTGTTTGAGTTCTAAGGAAACTGACCATTTTTCATGTTTCATTAACCAGTATTTTTCCTTTTGTGACTTTCCAATTTGTGTTCACAGTCCATGTTTCCATAAGTATATTTACTTTTAATTGCCAAGAACCCCACAGATGAAGGACATCAACGATTTCATTCTACAGGTTACAAGTATTTTTTCTCAGTTTTTTAAAATTCTGTGAATGGTTTCGATCTCTAAAAACGGACTTAAAACTTTTCCAACAATAACTTTTATAACTGATTCATGAACACTGGGCAAGATCTACTATTTGCTGTTCATAGGTTTCAAAACTGTGAGATCAACTGTATTGTATTACTCAAACCCGGTACGATCCTATCTGCCCACCTGCTCTATTGAAGACTGAAAGTTGTGCTCAATCCTTCCACTCTGTCGTGCTTCCAAATCTGTTTTGTGTATTCAGATGCAATGTTGTCTGATGCATATAAATAAGGCTCATTAGATCAAAATCGTCACTGCTAACTGTAGCTTTCAGAACATGATATGATTCTGTAACACGGTGCTTCTCAAAGATGAGGTTCCTGGACCAGCATTAGCATCGTCCGACAATCAGTGAGAAATGCAAATTCTCAAGACTTAATCCAAGACACACTGAAAGAAAAGTTCTAGGACTGGGATCCAGGAATCTGTGTTTTAACAGGCCCCGTAGAAAAATGTGATGCACAGGAAAGTTTAAGAACCACTGCTCAGATATTTAATTATACTGTTGTATTAGCTCACCTGACATTAGTTACTAATTTCTGATCATTTGTAAGAGCTTCCTTTCTCATTGTTTGCATGCGCCTAAAAACGTTTCCCTAAATTTTCTTGGGAAAATTCATTAAAAAAAGATACATTGGTAGATGGCCACCACAAACTGCTGAGAAAAAGGAATCATGGTTCCGGCCTTCAAGGAGGTTACAGTCTGGAGGAGGAGACCAAAAAATCAAATAATCACACAAACTTAAAACTGCAAACCCAATGGGTGTTCTTAAAGAAGACATTTATAGGGCTATGAAAATCCCAAAAGGGGATTCAATTTAGTTAAGGAAGCAAGAGGGAGCTCCCTGAGAAAGAGATGGAGAATTAACGAGCTAGGTCTCTAATAAACCATTATTTTAAATTAACTTGAGAACCTTTGCCTCCTAATAAAAGAGACGAGGCCACTTGGTTTTGTAGCTGTAAGTGACTTGGTTTTACTTCTTTTGTGTTTTCTTTCTTTCTTTCTTTCTTTTTTCACATTCCACCCTTCCGGGTTTATTTCCTTCGTTTGCAGCTGCTTGATGCATGAAATCTTTTCTCTGTCTTTCCATTATTTGCCAATATTCCATTATTTTCCAATATTCTCCTTTGTTTTACACAGCATGTAAGATACATCTATTACAGTCAAGCAGAAAATGACATTTTCAAGTCTATTATCATAGAGAATTGTAGCTTAACTCTGTGCTTCTCCAACTTTGGCAGGTTTAAGAATTATCTAGAGGGGCGCCTGGGTGGCTCAGTGGGTTAAGGCCACTGCCTTCGGCTCAGGTCATGATCCCAGGGTCCTGGGATCGAGCCCCACATCGGGCTCTCTGCTCAGCGGGGAGCCTGCTTCCCTTCCTCTCTGCCTGCCTGCCTCTCTGCCTATTTGTGATCTCTGTCAAATAAATAAATAAAATCTTAAAAAAAAAAAAAGAATTATCTAGAAAGGTGGTTACAACACAGACTGCTGTGCTTCAACCCAGAGACTCTGATTCCCAGGGTCAGGGGTAGAGTCTAAGAATTTACATTTCTGATAAGCTTCCAGGAGATGGCGCTGCTGCTGCTGGTCTGGGGCCCACACTATGGGAAGGACTGGTTTAACCTTCTCTACAGCATCCCTCCCCTTATTCCTTCCTTCTCGTGTTCTTACAAATCGTTTTTAATACTGCAGAATGATCTTTGTCTTCTGCATTCAATTTTGTGTCTAGATCGTAACATTTTAAACTTATGTCTAGGGATGGGTGGCTCAGTTGGTTAAGTAACGACCTTCGGCTCAGGTCATGATCCTGGAGTCCCGGGATGGAGTCCACATCCAGCTCCCTGTTCAGGGTGAGTCTGCTTCTTCCTCTGATCCTACCCACTCTCAAGCCGTCTCTCCCTCCCTCTCTCATTCTCTCTTTCAAATAAATAAAATTTTAAGAATATATATCTAATCTCCCTAGTATGAAGAAGTGGAGATGCAACATGGGGGTTAAGGGGGCAGGAGAAGAATAAATGAAACAAAATGGGATTGGGAGGGAGACAAACCATAAGTGACTCTTAATCTCACAAAACAGAGGGTTGATGGAGGGAGGTGGGTTGGGAGAAGGGGGTGGGGTTATGGACATTGGGGAGGGTATGTGCTATGGTGAGTGCTATGAAGTGTGTAAACCTGGCAATTCACAGACCTGTACCCCTGGGGATAAAAATATATGTTTATAAAAAATTTAAAAACTTATTTTAAAAAAAGAATATATATCTAAAAATATAAAATAAATAAACTTATGGTCTAGTTTATCTGATTTTAACACTGACCAGAAGTCCTCCTATGCGACGAATTCATTCTTCACAACTGGGGTGTACCTGATGAATTTTTTGCAGATGGGTACATGGGGAAAATAGTCTTTTCAAGCCCTCATTTTTCCCTTTACTCATAAATTACAATCGGTCTAGATATAAAATTCTTAGGATGTAATCTACATTTCCTTTCAAAACGTATTCCAGTATCTTTTGGCATTTAGCGCTGTACGAAGTCGGAGACAAGTCCCCCTTGGATTCATCTGTTAAAAACTGGCTTTTCTTATACCTAAATGCCTGCATACTTTTTTCCTTTATATTTATAGTTTAAAGAAGTCACAAACATCTGTTGAGTTATGGGTCTTTTTATACGGAGGTAGATTATAGCCCAATCACCTGTCACCCCCGACACATGGTGAACCCTTACATCAGCATACATGGGTCTGCCTTCAGCACATTTTTCTTCTATTGTATCTTTGGAGTATTACTTCTGTCCCACCGGTACAATTACCTGGAACTGGCTCCCCAGGCTCCGTAGTTAGCTTGTTTTCCCCTTGTTCTCCTGCTCTGTTCAGGTTTCTCCTCCCCGTATTTAATTCCATTTCATTTAATTCCAACAGATCAACTCTGGTCTTTACTACTTACCATGTAGATTTTAATTTCATTTTCTGTTTCTCTGCAGTCCTCCAGCTCACTCCTTTCTCTGCCTCTTCATTTTATCCTGCTGCTTTGTCACCGGAAAACTTCAGGCTCCTCTCTCACAGGGGTCATACTACTCACTGAACCGTGGCCCCCCAAAACCCCTAAACTCAATTGTTGATGTCCCACTTCCCCACGTGAAGGTATCTGGACATGGAGCCTGTGGTGGGTAACTGGGCTGAGATGAGGTCACGAGCGTGGGGCCCCCAGGACTGGGTTACTGCCCTTGTAACAAGAGGCACCAGGGAGCTGGCCTGCATCGGTCTCCCACCATGTGAGGGGCACAGACGGACGGGCGCCAACTCCAAGTCAGGAAGAAGGTTCGAACGTGACCACCACACTGGTACTTTGATCTTGGACTTCCAGCCTCCAGAACTGTGAGGAAATAAAGCTGTTTACGCCATCCAGTCTGGGAGTTTGTTACCATAGTCCAAGCAGACTGACAGAAGTCGTATTTTCTTACGCTCGGTTGTAGTTGTCAAACAGAATTTTCTTCTAGATTTCTGTAGTAGGTCATTTTCAAGAGGTATGCTTTCCCTCCGAGTCTCCTAATTTCTATCTTGTTAGGTGGAATTTTTAGTTTCATACTTTGGGATCTTTTTCTTTTAATTTAAAATTTTTTTCAAGTTACTCTTCCTCGGTCACATATAAAAATCGAGTAAATTACAGATGATGCAGACTTACCATTCTCAGTAGATGTGAGCGAACTGTTCTTGAGCCTCCCATTATCATGGCATTAAGTTATCGTGGCAGCCCAGTTTAATTCTCAGATCTGCAGCTGGAGAGCAGGTGGACATGCAGGACCCCTATGGCCAACTGTGTCCTTCTAGAAGGATTCTTCTGCTGTCATGGCTCCAGGAGCACCAAGTACCTAATTCTCCAGGTTGTTCAGATCAAGTGGTGGTGGGAGGTGTGCTTCCCAGCATGCACTGCTTCTGGGGTTTTCCTCTTCCCAAGTCCCTTCATGGGGCTCTGTGCCTCTCACAGCTCCACTTACTCTACACCTTGTCATTTCTGGGGTTCTGTGACCTTGGCTTTTTGAAACCCAAGACACAGCATTCTCATCTCATGAGGCAGCTCCTGAGCCCTAACAGGAGAGGTTCACACTAGTCTAGCAATCTCGGTCCCATAATGTCAAGCTGGGGGCATGTAGGGAGCCAAAACCAGTACCATTTTCTCAGTGCAATTCCCAACTGCGTATGGCGTGTGACCCTTCCTCCCAGATCCAACTTGGTTACTGACAGAACAAGCTGCACCTAGTTCCGTTATCTTCCTGGGCAAAAGGTACTACTTCTTTAAAGCCTTCCATGCATGTGTTGAGGACTACACTCACTGCCTTGCAAATGTAACCTCATTCATTCCCCACGACCATCCGGAGAGGTGAGTTTTCTTGTCGTCAGCCCATTCTCGAGTTAAGGAAACTGTGGATTAGGAAGATTATAAAGCGTGTAGGAGGTCATGTAGGTATGAAGTATAGGGCTGGGGCTCACGGATGGGATGCTCTGAAGCTCCCACCCTTGGCCATTTCTTGACAACATGACTCATCTATTACACCCAGAATACAAGCCAGGAGGCTGGGCTCGTCCCTTCCTGCATGAATTCTCCATGGGCCCTACGGAACAGAGAGATGCTCTCGTCTCCAACTTAGAGGAGTCAAAGGACACTCAGAAGGGGAATAAGGAGCTCGTCAGTGGGTGATGCCCGCATTCAAACCCAGGCCTCCTGATTCCAATTCTGTTTTCATAATTATGATGCTACAGATGGTTAGAAGGGCTACGCTCCCCGGGGAAGGTGAGGGAGACAGCTGGGGGAAGTGCTGAGATGGCAGGTCCCCGATCTCGCTGTCCTCATCCTGTAGCTGTTTATGATCGCCCATCACAGAACAAGTCTCAATACACAGGTGGGGTTTGCCAGTTTTAATTTTTAGCAGTTTTAGTGTTAAGAGGTTCGTTATTTTCTTCCAGAGACAGAGAACATGCCATGCGCACAGTCAACACATGACAAGCGCCGCACGAACCCTTCATGGATACTGTCCCAGCCCCAGTCCCCCAAGTGCTGAAAAGTTCGAAGAGAGCAATGAATCCCCCTCTACCATGAAGGAGGGAAAAAGGACCGGGGAACCCAGTCAACACCTTCCGAAGGGGGGGGCCACGCTCTGCCCCGTGAGGAGCACCTCCAGCTTCGCTGGCTCTCCCGCCCCGAAATCCCCTCGTGCATTCATTCACTGTGTGTGCGCCTTTCTGCAAGCTGCCTGGAAGCTTTACTGTAATGAGGCAGAGTCCACAAAGGTCTCTTCTTGCTGTTTGGTAACTGAGAGGAAGGGGAATGCGGGTTCCTGAAGGCCTGGACCAGATACCTCTCACTGGCTGACTCCACCTAACCCATTCTTCTAGAAACAGCCAAAACAGACTTGTAAATCTGACCAAGATTTACCAAATGTAAGTCTGACCAAGTCCCTTCCCCACTTGGGGTAACCCTCAAGCTCATTTCCCTCAGAAGGAACTCTAGATGCCTTCCTCTGGCGTTCAAGGCTCTCGAAGACCCCAACTCGGAAACTGACTGGCCTTTCAACTCCCCAGAACAAAAGCTGCTCACCTACCTTCACCCTATGATGCAAAAGGGCTCATTCTGCACCCTGATCCCCAATGCAGGAGAGGGGCCCACCCCCCCGCTCCTGGCTCCCAAGGCTCCCTAGGCTTCCTGCGCATCAGGTTATGCTCTGTCTGCACACTGCCCGGCTGCCCCCTTCCTGGGCTGAGGACCTGAGGGCAGGGCCACGACTGCTCCATCCACTGCTGTGTCCTCCCAACACTCCACACAGCGCGCCGAGAACAGGCGGGTGGCAGGTGTGGCTCCTGCCCTCAGGGGTGTCATGGGACAAGGACAGAATGTCCAGGTGGCTCCCTTGGACAGCTACATTTGCCGATGAAGCCCTTCACTGGAGGATGATGACAACAGGAGTTATTTTCCGAGCACCTCTTATGTACCAGGCACTGTGCTAATAGGTGATTTACATTCACGATCTCATTTAATCCCCCAACAAACCTTTGGGGAAACGTAGTCCTCATTGACACGTGAGGAGCAGAGGCTCAGGACGGCTAACAGACCACCAGGGCACCAAGCGTGTGCTACATTCGCTGCCCCGACCTTGACCCTGTGCTGTTCTGCTGCTCCTCAAAAGCTGAAGTTCTAAGACTGGCCCATTTGACAGGTGGGCAAAGTAAGGTAAAAGAAGCCAGTGGTCACTGGCCAGTAGCACTGTTGCAGGATGAGTGGGTCACCCCCTTCCAGTGGCACGATTCATCCCGCCCCCCCTCAGCCAGCCCCCAGCTGTCTCCCACCCAGCCCATCCCCAGAGAGAGGCCCGCATACTTGGCCCGATTTTCTGGAATGGTTCCGGGGGTTCCTCCTTCACCTCGTCAGTAGCGACAACGCCTTGTTCGAAGGGGTCTGTGGGAGAACACATAGCCCTTAGCACCCTGGTAACCAGGTGGCCGGAGCCCAGCCAGGGACAGGGAGGTGGGCAGTCACCAAGGACTTACCTGCCCGATTCTCGGGGGCCCCTTCCACACTAAACACTGCGCCCAGGCGGTAGGCAGCAGCCGCAGAAGGAAAGAAGCAAACAGGAGCCCTGTTAGTCCCTGTCCACAGCGGCCTCTGCCCAATGCTCCCAGCCTCTCTGGGACCCAGGAGAGGTGCCATGGCCAGCATGAAAACCAGGGGCCACAGGAAGGCACAGCTCAACCAGGATGCAACCTCTGCCTCCATTCCTCACCCTCTCCATGGGCCGGGGACCAGCCCGGAGGCAGGCAGGCTCTCTGCCCAGCCAGTTTCTGGACTGCCGGCAGCCGCCCAAGGGCCCAGGACAGGAGAAAACGAGGAAGAGACCAGTTAGGAAACAAAGAGGGGATGAGAAGGACAAGCCAGTGGCAATGGGCGGCCGGGCCCGGTTGTCACAGCCCGTGACAGGCCGGGGTGCAGGGCTGGAGAAGGAGCCCCGTCCACTCTTTCCAGGTCCGAGACCCTATTTCTGGGATTGAGATTCTAAAAATAAATTACCTAAATTTATTGTTCTAATTTCTAACTCTATAACCTAAGATACTAAAATACCATCATTCATTTTAAAAAACTGGTTTAATTTTATCAGAGCATAGGACTACTCAGTATGAAATTGTAAAATGCATCGATATGAAATTGCTGAAATTCAACGGATTCTGACCTACAAAAACGGCAACTTCACTTGGGCTACCCTAATCAGAATATATGGAATATGATGAGGACCTTCTCTCTCCCAGAATCCCCAAGGGTCAGTCACTTCCCTCGTGGTCCTGGCTGCTGCCTGACCTTCCTCTGGGTGGGAGGAGAGAGGGGACACCTGGGGGCTGGGAGGAGCCAGGTAAGCAGCCCTGGCGCTGGGGGGTGGGGGTGGGGAGTGGGGGACGGGATGGGCGCTCCTCCTCACGTGACTCTCCTCCCTCGGAGCCAGGGGCCCCGACTCACCATCCACGGCGTGCAGGTCCCGGTGCTCCTGGAAACAGCTGTAGTACTTGTACTTCTTCCCACAGATGTCACACGTGTACCTGAAATTGTCTGTGGGGGATGGAAAGACACAAGCAGTTACCAGGGCTTCGGTCACGTGGGATGGGGATTTTGGGGGGGCCTAGCTCATCTGCCTTAGGAACCAACATGGGACCAGCCCACACCAGCCCCAACTGGTGCCCCCTGGATAGTCAGTCCTGGGAGTGTTAGGGGTTCTCTACACAAGGATAGGAGAGCTTGGAAAACACCTTCAAACCAGCCCCCAAACGTACTCTGTGTGAACTACGTGCCTAAGGGCCGGGCCCCACCTCCCTTCTTGAGGTTACATGAGAGCAACTGTCACTGCAGTCACTACTTCCTGGGCACTGCACACACAAAGGGCCAGGCCAGGCACTTCCTCTGCCTTTCCTCCATTAGTCCTTGTGACTGAGCAGTAACCCCCTGAACACGCGTGTAGACGCAGGGTCAGAAGGGACCCAACCCAAGCCCCACAGCCAGGAGGGCCTGTGGTAGGCAGCTTCCCAAGGACCCTGGCCTCTGGGCGTTCACACCTGATGTGATCCCTTCACTCTGAGCCTCAGCTGGGCCTAGTGACTTGCTTCTAACGAAGGGAATGTGACAAAGCGATGGGATGTCGTTTCTGAGATTCGCTTACAAAAGACCGTGACTTCCGTCTTGCTCTTACGAGCTGCCCAGAGCGTCAGCCAAGTGGCATTCTCTGTGAGCAGCCAGTGGGAAAAGTGAGGTCCTCAGCCCCACAGCTTGGGAAAGACCCCGCCTGCTGACAGCCGTGGGAGTGCGGCAGCATCTCCTTCCCCGGCTGAGCCCTGAGAGGGGCCTCAGCCCCGACCAACACCTCCCCTGCCTCAGGAGACCCACAGCCGAAGGACCCAGAAAAACCACACCTGAGGTCTGACCAGGTAACCCGAGGAAACCAGCGTTTGTTTACATCATTCAGTGCTGGGGAAACGTATACAGCAAGAGGTAACGAACACTGGGCCAGAGTCTGGATGATCCCAGGTCTATCCAAATTCCGAGGCCGGACTCCCTCGTGGCATTGCTCTCAGCCCTCACCAGCATGGACCCCCCGTGCGTATTCCTTGGGCAGATCTAGAGATGCCCCATTCAACCCCATCTTCCTGACGAGGCCCTGCCCAGGCGATCGGAGCGGCCTGCTCAAGGCTGCAGAGTGGGGTGAGGAATGACCAAAATTCAAATATTCACTTCGCCCCATGCCCTAAGTCAGGGCACGTGTCCTTTCTCGGTCCGCACAGGCCACCTTCTGCTCCTGACTGAGCACCAGCTTTCCCACCCTCCTTCTACTCCCCAGGACTCAAACGTGGAATTGATGGGACTACCTCCATCCCGAGGTTGCAACGCCAGGCAATTCTACAGGAAGGTTTCTAGTCCCTGCTTAGCCGAACTTAGGGGCACAAATGACGTCAGCCTTCTCCTTGCCTCTGCCCCCCACCTCTTCCACACTGTCCCTGCAGGCTCTCAAAGTCCTGTCAGGTGCCAGGGCTACAGAGACTAACTGGTTCAAGAGAGGCGCGCAGTGTCAATAGACACAGTCCTGAAGGCCTGGGGACCGGGACCGGCCTGGGGACCCCATGCCTACCCGTGAACCAGCCGGGCAGTGGTGGGGGGAGAAGGCAGGGTTGGAGGAAGAGAGGGCTGGTCCTGCTCTGCCTCACCCAGACTGTCAGCCAAGTGCTGACCCCACCTCAAGATTCAGCTTTCCTTCTTTTCCCCCTTGTCTGAGGGGATGGGAGGGTGGTAATGAGCTGACTTCCATGGCCTCTTCCAGGCTGGCCATTCTAGGATTCAAGCCCGGCTCCAGCTTCAATCCGGCCTAGACAATAACCACCACCTCATGCCCCATCATGTCCCATCTAGACCTGAATTCTCTCTGAGCGGTGGATACCAGGGAATATAGCTGAAAAAGTCAAGGCTGTCCAGGGTCTGGCTCCGGACAGGACCCTGCCCCTGAAATGCCTCTCCCCCACTGGCCAGTGCTGGTCACCCTCCACAGCTGCTGGGAGCACTTGTCTCACCTCTGCTCACAGAGCTCCCCCCACCACCTCTGAGAAAATGAGAACCCCCAGCTTTCTGCCACCAAGAAGTGCAGTCACCCTGCTCCTCCTTCTCAGCGGGAGGTGTTAGGGGTTCTCGGAATCCCACCCCACACCTCCTTCTCAATGTGCATGGGGACCACGTTCCCGGGCCCACCTAAGGCAGGAGTAGATTAGGACAAGAGAGTTATCCCCAAAGGAAGAAAAGCAAAATGATTTTCTGTCAATGAAACCACAACTTCTGAGCCTCCAAGAGAGCTCAGTGTCTCTAGGAACGGCACTGAGCAGCAGTCTGGGGAGACAGGCTCTGGGGTCAGGCTGCCAGACTCCAACCTGGCTTGGCCACCAACCAGTGTGACTAATGCTGGACATGCTCCCTAACCGCTGCACCTCCGTCATCTGCAAAATGGGTATGATGGTCCCTTCATCTCCCAGAGTTGGAATAAAGAATGAGCCAGGACAATGCCACACAAACAACAGATACTAGGTAGATGGCACCTAATACTGTTCTGGAAAGGGAATCAATGTAATAGCAGCAAGAGAACTGGACGTGGCGTCAACCTTTTATTTTCTCAGCTAAGAGATGGGTGAGTGGGTATGGGCCTCCCTTTCAGAGTGCACAATTTTTCTAATAACTAAATGAAAGACTCTGGACTAGAAGGTGGGAGGCCTGGTTTCTAGGCCCACCTGAACCACTAACAAGTTGCAGGAGTTCTCTCTGGGACTCAGTGTCCTCCTCTTTGAAATGGGTAGGCTGGATTTGGTATTCTCGACACAACGCTTTTGGCTCCAGGACTCCATGGTCAGGCTCCTGTCATGAGGCCGGTGTGCGAGGACGCCAGGCCTTCTGACCAGGCGCTGCTGGCTTGGGTCAGGGTGGGGATGCATGACTGAGAACAAAATAAAGCACAGTGGCCATGGGGAGAAAATTCCCTAGGGAGGAAGGCGAAAGTGATGGAAAGACTAAAAATACCCCCAGCGAGAGTCCTCTACATCCTCTGGGAACCAAGGAAGCCAGACGGAACACAATGGATCATTGAGGGGCTGCCCAAGAGGCCAGGGGCCCAGAATAGCTAAGGAAGAAACGATAAATAGAGAAGATCTTTAAATGTGTGGCTGACCACAGGCAAACCACGGGAACCGGGTGAGAAGGAAGCTTCTGAAGGAGAAGGGAGCCAGGGGCCAGACTGGGGCAGGGCTCAGGGAAGAGGGGCGGGCCTACACAGCCCCCTAGCCAGGGTCCTCAGGCAGGTGTCGGGCCTGAGCCTCAGAATGTCTAGAACACAGAAGCTTAGCCTCGGCCCCGCCTGCCTCTCACATGCTACGGGGAATCCAAGGAGAGAGTGGCTGGGAAAGGGCCTCAGAAGAAATGCTTTTTGGACCTAGTACAATTAAGGCTTTTCATTGGCCCACACACGTCCTCAATTGGCTTTGTTTGGGATTTTTTTTGGGGGGGGGGGCGGAGCATGTTTATTATTTTTAAAGACCTTCTGCAGCAAGAGGAAAAGGGGTTGACAAACTATGGCCTGCCCACCCTCTGTTTTGGTGAAAAGTTTGCTTCTGTCTCATCTCTGGCTATGCTCAGGGGTACATGGCAGAGCTGAGTGGTGGGGACAGAGATGTCTGGCCTGCAAAGTCTAAAATATTGACTATCTGGTCCCTATGAAAAAGTCTGCTGACCCTGAGGCAGAAAACTGTTCAGCTCCCTCGATTTTCATAAACCAGAAACACCTGTGTCACCAGTGCCCAGAAGCCCCTTCCCAAGGCTAGCATGAATCACTTTCCCAATTTTGTACTTCCTATCCCGAGATCTTAGAGGAGGGGTTCTTGTGCTGGGCTCCTTTGGCTAACGGTTCTGTTTGTGTGTAATCCACGGCACTGGGAGTAGCCGTACATCCTTCCTTCTTGCTGCTTCACGTGAGCACACCACAAGTCATCTGTCCGTTCACCTAGCGCTGGGCACTTGGGTGGTTTCCAGTCTGGGGCTGTTACGAACAGTGCTGCTAAGAACAGCTAGCTCCTGGGCGCCTGCATGGCTCAGCTGGTTGAGCACCTGCCTTCGACTCAGGTCAGGATCCTGGGATCCTGGGATCGAGCCCCACATCGGGCTCCCAGCTCCCTATTCAGCAGATTCTGCTTCTCTCTGCCCCTTCCCACTGCTTATGCTTGCACGCTCTTTAATAAAATCTTAAAAAGAAAATATCCACTTCCCATCTTTTGGTGGACATGTGGCACACAGCTCTGTTGGGGATACACCTGCGAGTGGAAAGTCTGGGTTGTGGAGCTCAGGCTCGTTGGGCGGGGAGAAGTTCCACCCCAGCCTACGCTCATCTGGCTTTTCTGAGGCCCACGGGTTTCGATCTGGGGGGGCAAGCAGAACTAGGTCCTCAGACGGCAAGGCCCTGTGCGGCCCAGACTGGGGTGGAGCACCCAGAGAGAAGCACCCATGGGTGCCCATGAGATAAGACTCGAACTAGCATTCCCCAAACACCAGTGCTGAGTTTGCCAGTGAGGGTCCCTGAGGAGTCTACTACAAAGAAATATGTTCATTTCGGCAGAACTCAAGGCTCGGGAACTCAAGAACTCGGGCCAGAGAACCCGTTACCGACAAAACACCTGGTAGCTTCCGCAGGACGCATGCCAGAACACATTTGGGAAAGGATGCTCTGCCACAGACACATTTGGGAAAGGCTGCTCTGAGGTTCCATCCTCCAATGTCAAGACCCTCTGGCCCCAAAGCCTGAAGCACAGCCAAGTTGTCACCCACCGGCCCCTTAGGACAATCCTGAGGAGGAAAGAACAAGGGGGAAATACTCACTGCCTTGGGAGGCTCCCTCCCCTGAGGTGGCTTCAGTGTCTGCATGAGAGAGAAAATGAGAAGGAAGTGAACAGACTGGACTCCCCGTGAGGCAGGTGCCAAAGAGCACGAGGGACTAGGGGGGAGACAGTGACCCCAGCACAGTGTGCCCACGACACTCTGTGCCCGTTCACAGCCCTTCCCCGTGCCCCCGGCCGTCAGGCCCGGACCCACTGGCTGTCCTCCCTGGCACCATCTGTCCTGTCCCCTCAGCCTCCTCATGTTCAGAATGGAGACAATGCCCCGACCCCACACCCAGGGAAGCCAAGAGGAGCACACGAGATGACATGGGAGCACCTTCCCTGCAGAGGCCGCCCCCTCCAGGCAACCCTGATGCATCCTGGGAGAAAGAAGACCCACACGGAGCAGAAGGCTGGTGGCATGTCCTCCCAACCCCTCACTGGCCCTGTGTGCTCTCCCACATAAGGAGGCCTCTTCTCTCCACCTGGGTCTCCATCCTACGGCACACAGCGGGAGAGGGGGCCCTGCAGTCATCAACAGGCCAGGCAGGGAATGGGGAGGTGTGGCCCCCGTCTCTGCTCCCAGGACGCCCCTCACCTCGGTGTGCCCGGACGTGGGTCTGGAAACAGTTGTAATACTTATACTTCTTGCCACAAATTCCACACTCATAGGATCCTGGAAAACAGGAAAGGGAGGGACAGGTCAGTAAGTGCCCAACATGTGCAACTATGAGGTCCCAGGAATGCCCCCAAGGATCACGAACTCCGCGACCAGGGGGCACCACGTCCCATGGGCTGCATTAGCCCCGACAAGCAAAGACACAGCAAGGGCCAGCAGACACAGCCCCGGGCCAGAAGTCAGGAGCCCGGGGTCTAGTTCCAAATTTCTGCCCCAACTCTCTAAGTGACCTCGGGGAAGTCGCTTCCCATCTCCGGGCCTCAGTTTCCAAATCTGTGAGATGGAGAAGACAACTCTTTCTTAAACTTACTCCTTGGGAAGAAAAAGGAAATGAACCTTAAAGTGCTCTTTCAAAATAAGGAATAAATTGCATCCAAGGAAAGAAATCAACACACACCTGAGTAACTTTTACCTCTCCTCCTTGCTGGGATGGTACAGAGATTAAGAGAACAGTCTTCGAACCAGAGGGATCTGATCCCCGTCCCTGTTCTGCCACTTACCAGCATCATGCCCTAGGTAATTCCCTTAGACACGTTAAACCTCAGTCTGCTCATCTGTCCAGTGGGGCCATAAACACCTACCTTACAGAGTGGCCCTATACTCCTCTTAGGACGTGCCCAGACCTATTGGAGATGTGCCCTAAGGGGAGAGTACCCCCCCACCACCGCAATCTACCGAGAAGCTTTCTTGTTCTCTCAGACATACAGAGACAGACATGGTGTAACTACCTGACTCCAGTCCTCTGCTGGCCCCTTCTCCCAGGAGCTGGGACTGAAATGGCAGGTCAAGGCAGGTCAGACAGGTCAAGGCAGAGCCTACCCATACAGAGCACACACGGAAGGCCCATAGAAGGAAGCCAGGCAGAGCCCATCAGACCCAGCCCGGCAGGGGCCCTAGGAGAGGAGGCCCGGGTCATCCCTCACAGACGCCCGCTGCCACCAGAGGCTGGGCCACATCCTTCCTAACAGAATGGTCAGGAAGCTCGCACCACACAGAGGCCCTGGCCCCATGCCAGGGTCAGTGCCCTAGAATGGCTGGGGTTAGGGGCCTAGGAATCTGCCTTTTACAAAAGGGTGCTTCAGTGGATTCTGAGCAGACCAGCAACCAGGTTCAGGAACCACTGATTCTAGAATAAGACAGACCTGAGAGGGGATCTCAGCTCTACCATTTACTGGCTGGGCCTCTGTTCCTGATGGGAAAAGTGGATAATGCATAAGCCCAGGGGTTCAGGGAGTGCCCGCATCACCAGCTCTTACTGCCTTTGGCCTCTCCTGGGAGCAGAGGCCTGTATACCAAGTGCAAATTCCAGGTACATCAGATTAAGTCTGAGGAGCACCGAGCCTGGAGTCAGAAGGTCCACTCAGCTCTGCCACGGAACCCAGCGGACAGCAGGCACACCCCTTTTTCCAGTCAGAGCCACAGCGGCCTCTCCTGTAACCCAGGACAGTGACCCCTATGTCTCACGACCAAGATCAGGACTAACAAGACACATCCTGTGAGCCGGCTGTCACAGAGGTGGCCTCACCGCCTTACCACTGTGGGTCATAGAGGGGACGCTGTCATTCCCAACACCAGCGTGGAACGTAGCCGCCTGTTACCCGCTGGTTTTATACGTGTTACCCTTGTCTCACAGAGGAAAAAATACAAATACGGGGAGGGCAAAGATGAGACTGGGTATTTCTTTGTCTTTAGTCCACTGACTGGCACGCAATGGGGGCTCAATAAATCCACGGAGTCCTGCCGTTCTACGCATCTGTCACCGAGTCATAATGACCCCGACTCCCTTCCTGTGCCTCTATCCACTCGTCAGCAGTTTTTGCCAATTCTCCTTCAACCAACTGAGAATTTGTGGAACACCTTCAACGTGCCTGGCACCGAAGCCCCAATCATGAGCAAGTCCGTGCGTGATCAGCGCCCTCCATGACAGGAAGGAGACAGTCCACTAGGCAAGAGGACAGGCAGGGTGACGGGGTTACGACAGTCAAGTACTGAACCTGGTGGGTGCAGCGCAGGACCCTGATGTGGCCACAGCGTGGGGCCAAGGTCACAGGGGTGAATAAGCTTGAGGCCAAAGTAAAGGGCAGACGGAAGGGAAGGCATCCAGGGAAAGTGGACTCTCTCCCCAGAAGACTTGAGGCCACAGACAGTAATGAGGCAAAACTTGGTTCAGATTTGTCCCTCTTCCAGATGAAGTCTCTGTGCCCCAGTCCTACCCCCTCTCTGCCACAGACCTGGGCCTCAGTTTCTCCCCTATCATCAGTGACCTCAGGACTCTCAAACTGTGTAGTAAGTGCATGCTGCAGTGGGTCCCCCAACTTGCCCACCTACTTCATCCTGTGGATAAGCAGGCCAGGTTCCTCCCAGCTTTATGGGATTTTCCCCTCAACCCACAGAGCGAGCTGAGGATCCTTGAAGCTTTGCTCCCAGATCTCAACCCACACAGAGTAACGGGGGTGCAGCCATCAGTATTGTACCCTCTCCTGGCTCCCCAGGGCAGAATGGGGGCCCCCTGCCCCATGCACAGAGTCTTAGGATCCCCTCCCAAGGTCCTGCCTGTCTCTCACTCACCCTAAGACCCAGGCTTCAGGTGCTCTGTCTGCAGAGGGGCTGGATGCTCAGGTGGCTGGCAGCTAGGGGCCACGGCCAGGGTAGAGCACACCAGAGAGGAAGCCCCACACTGTGGTGGTGTCAGCACACCTGCTTCAAATCCTGGCTCACTACCTTAGCAGCCAAGAGCCCCGGAAACAATCGTGCCTCAGGCTTCCTCTCTAAGCACAGGAAAATGGTACCCACCTCAAGGGGGCGCTTGTGAGCAGTAATACCTCAGCTACTGAGCACAGTACATAGTACAAAGCCGGCACTCAGCACAGCACAGCCGCTTTCATTATCCGCATGGTTCCAGAGTTCTTCAGAACCCAACTTCCAGAACGCAGTCCAGGAAAGAAAGACCCATAATCAAGCTAAGCTGGTGGGAGGCACGATCGTCTTGGGAAGGTGTGGCACAGAGGGAACTTGGGAAGATGTCCTACAGGAACCCTGTTTAAGCCCAGCCCTTCCAAAACACTTGGCCACAGGACTCCTTTATATAGCCTTGGCTTGTTTCAAAGTTGCTGCCCACAGCAGGCACTGCCAGAATGGTCCTGGTGTTCCAGACTTGTCAATTTCCACAAGCCGGCATCCCTCCAATGGCCAAGTCCTCCAAGCCCCTGGCAGGCTCAGATGTACTGCCCTCTGACAGCAACAGGGCGGACGAGCGTGGCCCCACACGGCCCTGTCCGGCCATGCCCCACCCTCACACTGGCCCCGATCAGGTCCTCCTGTCCCTCGGCCCTCACGTACCAGATGTGTATCTCAACGCTTGGTCAAAAATCCAGGTCCCTGAATAGCGGCTTCGCACCGATCCACCGTGGGGGCTGCCTTCGGGCGCTTTTCCATCTGAATTACGTAAGAAATCAAAAAGAGCCCTTGAAGTTGGGGGTTCCTGGGAGGTGGGGAAGGAGCCAGGTGAGGGGGTGCCCCACATCTCAGGAAAGCCAGTCCCCTGAGCTGCTGGGGCCTGGGGCCTTGGTTTCTCCAACCACACACACGAGGGCAACCAAAATCATACGGTCTCCTTTTTCATTGGAGAACTTGTTCTGCCCGGGGGGGGGCAGCACACCTGCCCTGGAAGGCTGGGCTATGGCAGAAAGCAGCAGCCACAGGCCCAAATCCCTCCGAAGTTTGATGTTTTCTCTGTATTCTAACTCGTGACATAAATATAACAAAATTATCCACTGTATGGCTATGACATTACTCCCCCAAAGCCTTCCAGCAAAATGACCCTATAGGAAGGCTATGCCCTGCCTATGCTGTGGCCCCAATGTTGTCCCCACCCCCCGCCCCCAGCCACGCACAGTCACCGAGTACCCCAGTGTGGTGCAGGGGGGCGCTAGCAAGGCTTCCTGGGGATGCTCAGCTCAGACAGCCCCAGGCCCCACAATTAACTCCCTGCCAGGCACACTTCCTCACTCTGCTGGGCTCCCCAGCAACCCCTGTCCTTTGTCACCACCACAGTCTAAGTGACAGGTGCTTAATGCACTTCATTCGAGCCTCCCCTGCGTCTCAGCAGAGCTGGCCTCCGAGCCTGACACACAAGCAGAAGCTAGCCAGGGGTGCAGCCCGTGGCCAGCTCAGCTCACCCTCGTGCGCCCAGAAGACAGAATGATTATCATCCCCATTTCTCAGATGAGGTAAGTAAGAGTGGCTCAGGTCAGCGGTGATCCTGCGCGCGCGCGTGCACGTGTGTGTGTGTGTGTGTGTGTGTGTGTGTGTGTGTGTGTGTGAGATCGCCACCCCTCTGGGAAAAGCCCGAGAAGAGACAGTGCTTTTTAACATGTACCATCCACTGGGGGCACCCAGGTCTCGTTCCCATCCTCCACCCTCACAGAAGTCCTGGATTGCTTGGGACAACTCCATACCCAGTTCACTGATGAGCGTGAATGTTCTAGGGGCCAGGCGGTCCAGGGTGGGGGGGGGCTACTCAGCTCATGGCTGGCCAGCCTTCCGAGCCACCCTGCTGCCCCCACACCAAGTCCTCTCTGGATGCCAAGAGAGCTGGGGCTTCCCCCTCAGTCCCAGGGCTCCCCCTAGCACGGCAGGGCAGATGACCACCCCCTTCCACCCCCGCTTGCCCCACCGCGTCCAGTCCTACTGTGGGACTCCCAGAGTCCCCCATCCACTCTCACGGCTGCCTGGGGCAGCAGACGAGCATGCCAGCACACGGCAGCCCAGCCTCTTCTTCTCCCCAACCCCATCACTAGTGATGCAAGAACCCACAGGCACTGAGTAACAGAACCTGTCTGGCATTTTCCGGAAGCACTTGGCAGACAAACTGGCTTAGCTCCCTCCCCAAGAGTGCAGGACAGACCAGGTGAGGTGAGCTGGGACCAGGGGAGGCTCTAGTTCCTGAGGCCATGGAGAGAAGAAGTCGGGAAGCTAACACAGAGAAAGCTGCCCCCTAGGGCCAGAAATGAGGGCAGCAAGCCGCAGCCTCATCATGTGCACCCAGCTAGCTCCAGGCCAGCTCACATACCTTTCTAGATACACAAAATGCAACGAGGCAGAAAGCTGGACAGGTGAATGAGAGGAAAAACACAAGAAGGTAGGGGTGTCAAGGAGTCCCGAAACCTCTCTTGGTTCCAGGACCCCGCAGGAGCGAGGCCCAGGGCCTGCTGGCGGACAAAGGAGCCACACAGGTAAATCATGGACAAGTGGGTTTCCCGAGGCTCTCCGGGCTTGGACTCAGCCCAAGTATCCTTGGGACCAGGGTCTTTCAAGTAGAGTACAAATCACCTGGGGATATGTGAGCACAGGTAGTTTTAAGAGAATCAATACCTTAATCATCAACTTTCAAATATATTCTTCCCTAAAATCAATGTGCTAGGGATACAGCAGGGGGCGGGGAGGCCCAGCTCAGTGGGCTCTCCTTCCCACCTGTCTCCTCACCGCCACCCTGATACACTACAAGCAAGACGATTCCTCACTCCCCCATCCCACCACGGTGCCCACCATGGGGGCTGCCCATCTCACGGCTCCAAGCAAAGGGGTCTAGGAGGGAACCTAGAACGGGGGCAAAAGCTAATGGCAGGGCACAAGGCCTTCTGTGAATTGGGTGATTTCCAATTCTTTACTCTCAACGAAACGGAAGAAGAATCTAATGGAATTACCAGCACAGAGACCCTTAAAAACAGCGTGTGATGACACACCCCATGCGATTTTCAGCACACAACTTGGGAAGAGTTCCAAACACTGAGTGACGCTCAAAACTCCATCCATCCCTGGTTCTTTACCTACGTGATTAAGCTTTCTAAGTACTTACATGTACAGAAACAAACAAACAAACAAACCAAAAAAAAAAACAGGAGTTAAATTAATGCTGAATCTTGCCTCATTCAATAATGAGAAAATATTAATTCATAGAAACAGGAGGCAACTGAAAAAGAAATAAAGCACCATCCATTTCATTAAGAGGTGCATTTCCAATAATTTTTTTTTATTTTTATGTTTACTGTTTATTCCAAATTTGTTTTTAACAAATGGACTAATACTAATACTAATACTAACTCGATCTGGGGGAAAAAATGTTTTAAAAAGTAGAGTTTTATGATCCTGACAAATTTTTTAGAAATTTCTATTTCAATTTACGTACATCTTGTTGTGGGAGAGGAGTGTAAAACAGTGATCAATAAAAGACTCTCAGGCATAAAAAATATATTACATTAGGATAAAATCCTGCGAGGGAAGTGGACTGGAAATATGCGTTCAAGGAGAGAAAAGGAAAGACGTAAAATTTCTGACTGTTAAAGATGAGCCGGTTCGCATGTTTTTAAAATGGATGATGGCAGATATTAAACAGCAGTGGCTCTGGATTCTCTCTGATACGTTTAAAACAGTGGTTTCACAGTTGCATTTCCAAAAATGACACTTTTCTTTTTTTACACAATACTCCAAAAATTAGATCCTTTGCGATTATTTAAACTTTGGATAAAAATGTGAGATGTCAACTCGAAAATATGAAAGCATATACAATTTCTCAGAATTCTTTTAGGACGGGATGAGCATAAAAAGTTGAAAGCCACCAGCCCGTCAGGTTCCTGGCTGTCCAGATGCGCCAACGTCCTGAGGCTCCCGCAAACACTGCTGGGAGCTGTTTTGCATTTTCTGTCTCTCTGTGTAAAAAACACTTTCATACCTGTTACCTCCCTGTGCCCGCAACATGCCTCCTGGAAAGACAGGCAGACGTTCTTACACCCACCAATCTATGAAGACAGCACGGCTCAGAGAGGTTAAGGGTCCCATGTGAGACTCCACCTTGGGGCAGATCCTGGGACTCTCGGATTTACAGCCCAGGGACCCTTTCCCGTGGGGACCCTCCACCCAGGATCCCTTCCCACCCTGAACCACTGGAAGCAGAGCTAAGACGTGCCTGGGAGGGTGGCCAGAACCCCTCCTTCCCACGCGGCTGCAGCAAAGGGCTGAGGGCTGGTTCTGGCAGCCTCCGGGGTGAGACCTGCCAACCACCCACTGAAACAGGAAACTACCAGCTGGCCTGATATGGGGCAGGACCTGGCACCTCCGTTGCCCGCATTTGTCACAGACCCAAATCCACGTGGCCAGGTCTGAACGGCTGCCTGCCCTCCTACTGCTCCTTCCAGAGCTGCAGCCGAGCCACCGCCCCCTTTCCCTGTGCTGCCTCCCCCAGGCAGTCCTACGGTCATGGAAACACCTCTCCCCGCCGTGCTCAAAGCTCACTGCTTAAAAACACCCGTGCAGTCCTCCATCTGCTCCTTGACTCTGCCTCCTGCACCCCGTCCAGTGATTTCCGGGACAGAACTCATGCCCTCCCAGGCCTGTATCTGGTTCCAGACAGTTCCCACAGTCACACAGGTTCCTGTTACTGAGCTGAATTCACTGGTGATGCCCCCTTACCAGTTGGGGCCAGGCAGAACACATCCACTCCTTCCCCTCCCACTCAAATGCTTCCAGTCATGACTACCTCTATCCTCCCCCTCTCCTGGACCCCTACCACCGGCCCCCACCCCCAGTCTCTTCCTCCCCAGGACAAAGAGCCCTTAGCTCTTCCATGGGGCTGGAAATAAGCTGGTTGGCCCACACCCCACATCCGAGGAAGGGCCCCACTGGCTGGCTTGCTCCCTCTAGGGGCTCCTGCAACACTGGTCTCCAGGCACCTGCCGCTCTCCCTGGGCTTCCCTCACGTGTAAGCTCCCCAGGATTAAGGACCAATGTCTCACCATACAGAGACGAGCACCCACTGCTGGGTAGGACCTTCTGACCACTACGATGGGATCCGAGCATCCTTCTCTCTCAGAACCAGGAAACGTTGCATGGACTGAACGTCCTGGCTGCTCTAAACCCAGCTTGCCCTGTCTTCACCATCTAAGACAAGAACAGCAAGTAGGTTTCCGCTTGCTACTTTTCAACCCCAGCTGCCTGGCAGTGCCGTCCGGTGGACTGTGTTGAGGAGGACGCAGAGGCACACTGCTGATGTCCCGGGTGACCCGTCAGCGACGCCGGCTGCTGAGTGTGGGTGGAGGTGGCAGCAACGGGAGCGCCCTGTGTTCAACACTCCTCCTGGGGTTCTCGAAACCTCAAGTGTGAATCCAACCGCCCTTGGGGCTGCTATGCCGAGATGCACGTGTAGCCCGTCAGGTGCACACAGGCCAAAGGTGACCTCACTTCCTTTCACTTCGGGTTTTATCCAACGAGTCATCGAGTTCAAGATCATCTCAGCGCTTCTGGCTCAAAACCCCCGGTTTCCCCCACACTGGCTCCAATGGTAGTGACGTTCTTTCTAAGAGCGAGAGATCGCTTTCTTAGCACAGGAACTTCTGGCAGCCAGGAAACAGCAGCCCCCACTGCAAGCCTGGCAGCCAGCCTCCTGGGCACTGATGCCCCTCCAGCCTCTCCCAGCCTGAGAAGCTGCAAGATGCCGTCCTCAGGTCCAAGCCCTGGCTGCCCCACGGGAAGTGCGCTGGATGAGGTCTGTGCCACTGGAAACTGTCTGATGGCCACTACAGGGCCAGCGAGGAACTGCGGATGCGGCAAGGTTCCCGCACGGCACGGCGCAGCAGAGTGACCACTGGGAACACTGTTCTATTCAGTAACAGAGGCTGGCTCTGAACCCTGAGCGTGACTGGGGGAGCGGGGCACTCTGGAGGCCCTTGGGCGCACAGAACTTCATGCTTCCCCGCCAAGCGGCTGGGGAACGTGTTCCCTAACTCCACACCACCCAGCCTCTGTGGCACAGGTGCATTTAAAGGGATGGCTCTCATCAGCATTTGGCCCCTGGCCAGATCCCCAGAAGTGCTTTCCCTCCTTGTTTTCCTTCCAGGTGGGAGAGGGTCGCTGTGAGGTGGATAGTCCCTTCGTGAAGTGGAAGAAAATGCCACTGATTGCTCTATGGACCACTGGGAGCCACTCTTTTCCTTTCTGTTGGCCTCTGTTTGCCCCTTTATAAAATGAGGGGATAAGAGGTGTCAAACCCGTAGCATACAGAGCCTCACTGCCTATTCCCACATCTGTGGCCGACATTAATAATCAATCATGCTTAATCACGCCGCCCCTTTAGAATCTTTAACACAGAACCCCTAATAAACAGCAGCAATTACTCGGACATGGCCCACGAGATGAAACCTACTTGCCATCTTGAGAACAGCTGAATTTGAAAGGCTCAATTCTTACATCGATTTTTTTTTTTAAATGCTTTTCTTTTCTGGTACAGAGGCCAACCCAGATTTCTCTGAACCTGACCCTTGACAGAAACTACACCCCCAACGAGGAAGGTCTGCCCCGACGGATGCACAATGAGCCTCGATAACCAGCCGGGAAGGTCCAGGCCCTGCCTGCCTTCAGGGTTCCAAAAGGGCGGCTCCACTCCCCCTTGCCACCGTGGCTGTACTCCTTTTTCAATAAGGGTCTGCCAAAAGCAGGTTACTTAGCAATGTCACAACATACCCAAAGTCCCTGGATTCTAGGAAGGAAGCACTAGCAGGGGCTCCGGGACGGGACAGGTTGTCCTGTTCAGACGAGACAATGGAGGCTCAATTAGAACCCGCGTCCTCTGACACCTCACCCAGAGCCAACTTCTTCCCCGGCCCATTTTTTCTCTACACCATCTTGGTGTATTTATTTCTTAGGCTTCAGAAAAATGCAGGAACTGTTACCAATCTTCCCCCTTGAAGAGGTACTTGAAAGAGGCACTCTCCGCCCCGGAAGAGCAATGCGAATCCTACTGATAAAAGCTAGTCTTTACCAAGTGCAATGCTGAGGGCTTTATAGACCTCACCTCACTGAATCTTCGCACAACCCCACGAATTGGCAGTTCTGAGAACTGAGGCATAGGGAGGTCAAGCAGCCTGCCTGACGTCCCACAGCTATTACATCAGAGAGCCTGGATGCACTCGGAGACCGAGCCCTGAGCTCATCTCCCCTGCACAACGCTGTTCTCTTCCACTGCCTCTTCATCTGCACACCCGTGAGTGGGCAGGACAGTGAGCCTCACTGAACAGAAGAGGACACTAGGGCACCGCAAAGCCAAGAACCCTGCCACTGAGCGGCCACCGAGCTGGAAGCCACCATCCGTGGCCGGCAGCTGGCGCAGGGAAGACTCCCTCCGAACATTCGCTAGCATGGCTGCCCTAGGCCTTCCCCACCGAACCCCGACTGCTGGCTCCGTCCCATGATTCAGATTCACCTACTCTTCACTGAGCGAGCATCTCCTGGGGAGGAGGCAGAAATAGCTCTTGAGTCCAGTGAGTCTTAAAACACACCCCCCCGCGGCACCTGGGTGGCTCAGTGGGTTAAAGCCTCTGCCTTCAGCTCAGGTCATGATCCCAGGGTCCTGGGATCGAGCCCCGCATCAGACTCTGCTCAGCGGGGAGAATGCTTCCTCCTCTCTCTCTGCCTGCCTCTCTGCCTACTTGTGATCTCTGTCTGTCAAATAAATAAATAAAATCTTAAAAAAAAAAAACAAAACAAAAAAACCCCAAGTGAGCAAGGGCACGTCCTGTCTTGGGTCAGTGGCAGATCCCTAGTGGCTAACACTGTCCTTAGACCCAGGGAACGCATACTGATGGAGGAAGGCCAGACACAGGCTCCTGAAAAGGCCCTTCTTCCCCTGGGCTTATTAGCACTGGGCTGTTACTCAAGCTCTTCACCACGTACTGCTGGGTCATCCCAATTCCGTCACATGGGAGGATGACATCTCCTGGCCACCTGCAGCTGGGTGGGGCCATGTGACTCGTGTGGCCAATGACAAGGAGGGGACTTGACTCTTCTACTCTCTGGGCTGCAGCAGGTAATAGCCAGTTTGAATCCCTCCAGAGCTTGCTTTCTTTCTGTCCCTTGGCCGACAGCATTTCACACAATGGCTGCTTTCAGCCTGGGTCCAGAGCAGAGCCCCCAGATGACCTACACCGCACACGCAGTGTGACCAAGGAAGAAACCTTTGTGGTTCTGAGCTACCAAGATCTCGTTACTTTCAGGATCTGTTGTGACTGGGCATAACCTAGCCCCATCCTGACAGTTACGACACTGATGTCAGTACTGCCCCCTAGAAGCTGGTACCTTGCTAGACATTGTGGGGTGGAAGCAGCAAATCCAGAGACACAGATCAGACAAGTCCCGATGCACCAACCTCCATGGGCTTCTAGTCTTGTGGCAGAGGTAGGCACAGACAAGGTCCCTCTAATCTCAAACAGATCATGGGGAGTACCCAAGTGAGGGGCAAGGTAGAAACAGAACACGCTGGCTAGAAGAAAGTCAAGAAGGCTTCTGGGAGGAGGTGGCACTGGAGCTGGCATTGAAAGACAGGCTGCATCTGGGCATGCGCACATGGGCAAAGGAACTACAGGGAGAGGAATGAGTACCAGCCAAGGGCAAGAGATGCCATGGAAAGGCAGTGTGTGTGCTGGAATGCAAGGTCCGAAAAGGTCATAAATAAGAAACAGACATCAGGTTATAGGCGATCTTGATACTATGGCCTTGACCCTAGACACAGTGGGGAGTCCCAAGTCTATAAGCAGAGAGTGACATGAGTGACATGGTCAATGACTTGTTTTTCCCAAGGCCCCTGGCAGCCAGAGTGGAGGGCAAGTGAGGGCAGAGAGACACGAAGGCATGGACACGAAGGCATGGCTGTCTGCAGGATGCCACATGGCCCAGGTGGGCGGACAGAGAACAGCCAGGAAACGGAGGATGAGGCTGAGTCCTGGCAGCTGGGAAGAAGAGGCAACAGGACTCGAGTGTAAACTTGGGGACAGAGACACAGGGGAATGTCCACACAAGGCCCTGCGTGCCACACGTGGGACATGAGCCCAGGAGTCTGGAGCAAGTGAGCCAAAGCTGGACCAGAGGGGACAGGGAGAGGGGAGGGAGGTGGCGGCGTGTCTAAGACAGGGAGGACCGTGCGGATGGAAACAGACCAGGCTAGGCCTTGGCGCCAGGGTAAGGCCCGCAGACTTTATTTTACACACCAGGGGTTGCCAACCTGTGCCACGGAAGGACCCAGACCCCCAGATAGGTTCTGTTAGGCAGATTTCAAAAGTCAAATTAGTCGCCAACACCTAAAGCCAAAAGAATTCACATCAGATGTCGCGTTTCAGGCCTGTGGCATGTCCACTGAGATCTGGCCACACAGAGCCTGTCTCCCACCTCATTACCGCGGCCACAGAGGACAGAGCCGCTCCGTGTATGTGCTGGGCCTCACGGGCATCTGAGTCTGTGACCCTGGCAGGGGTGCAAGGAGCCCCCGAGGGGACTCCCCTAGTGGGGGAGCGAGGACTGCTACGAAGCTCATTTCCGCAGAGCTACTCTGAGCCTGACCCTGTCCAGAAGAGGCAGGGGAAGGTGCTGGTCTGTCACCAATGTGATCCAGCCCAGGCACCTGCTCCAAGCAGGACAGCACTGGGAGCCGCCTTCAGGATCCCAAGGAGGAAGAAATGCAGGTGGGCGTTTAGGACAACGAGCGATGTGTCTGTGCCAGACCCACCTGGGGGGCATGGGAGCCCCACAGCATGAGGGGTTCACCACACCTACAGAAAGTCCAGGCATCTGACCTGAACAAAGTCTTAAAACACAGGCTGGGCTCTGACACGTCAGATGGAAAGGAAAGCAGTCCAGACCTGGGCTGTACAAGCCAAAGGCAAGTCTAAGGAGACTAGGTCCTTCCCTGAAGGCAGCGGGGAGCCACCGAAAGCTCTCTCAGCCAGGGAGAGGCAGCCCTCTGCTCTTCGGGACCCGACCACCCTGGTCCCAGCCCCGACCCTCTCAGGCAGGCACTCACCAAGGGTCTGCTGGTTGCGGACACCACCGATCACCACACAGATCTCAGCGGGCACATCACCTGTCCCGTCCTTGCCGACCGCCTTCTTCTCCTCCTTGGCCTCCCCCTGCCAGATCACCTCCTGGATGTAGTCATCAGGTAGCTCGGTCTTCACCTTCACCTCCGTCATCGTCCCCTGCTCGGCACTCAGCGAGGCCTCAGCCGGTGCGGGCTCTGGACCCTCCACCTTGGTGCTCTTCTGGCTGCGCTTCAAGCGCTCCCTGGGGGAGAAGAGAGTCCGCTCAGTGTGGACCCCGAGCCAGCCCCCAGACCCACCTGGGAGCCACAGGCCCAGGGGCTTGCAAAACGTTTAGCTACGAATCTCACCCTGAAGCACACAAGCCCCACGGCAGCCCCTCGGGGGTCTTCCTGGGAACCCACTGTGCTCGGAGGAACACAGTTTGAAAACCACTGGCCTAGTATGGCTCCAATTCCACCCATTTTACAGATAACAGAAACTGGGCTCTCAAGAGATCTAAACTCTTTTAACTGGAGTTACAAAAGACCTCCAAGGGCCGCTCTGGATGGCTGGGATCAGTTCTCAATCAGTGCACATACACATCAGCTGAGAATATGGGTAAAATGCCGATTCTGGTTCAGCAGGTCTGGGGTTTTGCCTGAGAGTCTGCTCCTCTAACGAGCACGCAGCCGGGGCCGGGGCTGCTCACCTTCAGTCTACACTCTGAGCATCAAGGGTTGAAGTATGTGTGCAAGGTGCCCCATGCTGTTCCTTCCCCTCCTTGGCAGAAGGGCTAGAGAGTTTATTCACGCTCCCCCTGTTCCCGGTGGGCAGACAGGCCACTACAAGCCAAAAGCCCCACTCGGACCAACACTCTGGCCTCCAGGGAGGCCTTCAAATATGGGAAGACATCCTTAAGGTCATGAGCTCGGTGCTGAGGGCGACAGGACCCTGGTTACTATTGAGCCTCCTTCATGAGGGGTCCACCGTGGCCCCGAACAGAGCTGGCACACGCCCAGCCCCACACACGAGACTGGGGGACAGGCCATGACATGGAGCCAGGTCCCTGCCATCACCCGAGCAGACGGTTTGGTGGGCTGCTATCCTAAGGGCCCCCTCAGCCTTTTGGCAGGGGGTTCATCATCACCACTGCTGTCTCTGAGGTATAAGAGCCAAGGTGCGCAAGAAAGGGGAGACCACATCACGGTCCAGGCTGGGGGTGCCGCCCCGCACATTTAGCCCTCTCCGTGGACTGCACCTTAAGGCCCAGGCTCAAGCCACGCTCAGACAAGACCTACTAGCACATCGACTAGAGGTGCCAGGCTGGGAGGCAGGGACGCAGGTTCAGACCCTGGGTCTGCAGTGGGCTTGCTGTGGGACTCTGGACAAGACCTTGCTCTGCTCTGGGACTCAGCGGCTCCATCCGTCACCAAGTGCATGAGTCTGCTCATAATCTTGGTCCCTCCCAGCTCTGAACTTGCTCTTGGGCTGGGGAATGGAAGAAAGAGAGGAGGAGGGTCCCAGCTAACAAGGAGGGAGCAAGGAGAAGGCACTGGGGAGGTGTTATGGCCTGAATTGTATTCCCCCCCACTCCCTGTTCCTATGGTTAATTCTTAAGCCCCACCATGACTCTAGCTGGAGACGGGGTCTTTGAAAGATAATTAAGGTTAAATAAGGTCATAAAAAGTAGAACCATAATCTGATGGGCCTGTGGCCTTAGAAGAAAGGGAAGAGAGAGCTCTGTGTCCCCCCAGCCATGGGAGGGCACGGAGAGAAGGTGGCCTCACCAAAAACCAACACTGCAGGTGCCCTGATCTCACACTCCCACCCTCCAGGACCACGTGACGATACATCTGTCCAAGCCACTCCGTGTGCGGTCTTCCGTGATGGCAGCCTGAGCAAATACACAGGACTCATATGGACAGCTAGCATGAAGCACAGCCTGGGGGGAACCAGCCAGAAGCCAGGGCTGTCCCATCAGCCACCTCCTTGCTGGGGTGACCTAAGCCGGCTGCCTAACCTCAGAGCCCCAGTTTTTCCATCTGCAAAACGGAGCTAATAGGACTGTCAGGGAGATGTCCGCCAACGAACCGAACACGTACCACAGCAGCTGGCCTCTAACAGCTAACAAGACACGGCCATCATCGCTATTATTAATAATGACAAAGTGTTGTGGCATCTTGAGCACTCGGTGGGCCCAACGACGCTTCCTCCTGATGTGTCAGCCACACTAGGGCCACCTGATGCCATCCGAGCATTTGCCCTTCTCCGCAGCGGGAAACCTGAATCGGGATGGTTCGATCGCCTCCGGGATCACTTCTTTTACTGAGTTAACAAACTCTGAAGTTGCTTCCTACGGGCTGGGACTATGCTAACATACAGACTTCTTTTCAGCTTGGAAACAACTGCGGAGGAAGCCTTAGGATGATCTGTTTTATAGAAAAAGAAACGGAGGCACTGAAGAGGAGAAATAACATGATCCAACTCACACAAGTAGGAAGACGTGGGACCAAAATGGGATGCAGGCATCTTGGCTCTTAGCCTCGGCGCACTGCGGTTAAGGGAGAAACCTGCAGAGGGAAGCCTGCCCACCTGCTCCTGGGGCAGCCCCCATGTCTCCCACTCCTGACCTTCTGCATCCAGAAGAGACTCAGAACCAAGGTGTGAGTGGGGAGCAGGGGGAGCAGGGGAAGGCAGGCCGCCTGACTTTTCTGGCTGCTGCTTCCTCAGAGGGGGCTATCTTGAGCTAGAGCCCCCTTGCTGAGGACTAGTGCCCCCTGGGAAGGGAGCAAGACGACCCATCCCCCACTTTATAGTTGTCACAGGGCCAAAAAGCCTCAGGCTCAGTGAGGCCCCAGGAGCCACAGGACCAGTCTGAGAAGTTAACAGGGGACAGCTATGGTTTCAGGGAAGGAGGATAATCTGTCAGCCAGCCAGCTACAGAAGGTGACATCCTGGGGGCGGGGGGGGTCCTCCCCAGCACCGGAGCACCAGAGCAGAGGTGCATGGACAGCCTGGCAGGAACGGGCCATGACAGACTCAGATGGAAGGTTCTGTAAAGGTGGATGGTTGGTCACACAGCCAATCTCAGAACTGCCACTCTCAAGCTCTGGGTTCTTGTGCAAATGACTCCAAACTCCCTTCCACGCCTCAGTCTTCATACCCCTACAGTGGGGACAAACACAGCACCTGCCCCACAGCGCCATGATGCAGAGACAAGCCAAGGTCTGCAAGGGACCCGGAACGGGGGACCCGTGGAGACATTTACGCACGTCGACTGTCTCACACAGAGTGCCGGGGAGGGAAGGATGCAGAGGACACAGGGGAAAGGCACAGACAACACTGCAGGGGCTGTGGAGATTGTAAATCAACAGGGGTTCAGGTCCCATCACTATCACATCCTGGCTGGTGACCCTGAAGGAGCCTATTTCCACATCAGTGAAGTGGGGAGCCCCACATCCACTCAAAAGGTCTTGTGAAGTTCAACCGCAAAAATGTAGATCCAGGACCTCGTCTAGAGGGACTCAGAGCAGAGATGCTCACGCCAATGGCGACTGCTGACAGTTACTGAGACCGCTGCTCCCTCCCCGAGACCACACAGACACTAACAAGGCCCTGCTGGTCCTAAGGCTCACAGGGCACGGGGTGGAACATGGGGACCCCGTCAGGGCCTGAATGCCAGCTCACAAGTCTTGGGGGCTTGGCCCTGGCTCATCCTGACCCTGACTGCACAAAGGGTTAAGACCCAAGGACAGAGCAAAGGCACTTCCAGAACAGCAAAGAGGTCCCCTAGAGACACAGGTCCCCTGTCTGCGCTCCCGTGACGACAGGTCACAAGGAGGGAAGGGAATAGAACAGACTCTCCCCTTTCTTCCCCACCAACCTTCAGAAGCCGAGTCTGAGGTCTATGAGCACTTGCCCATCCCACCTGAACAGACTCCGTGTCCCCTCCTGCTCTCAAGGACCCCACCAGCATCATGATGTCCTCCTGGTGGGAGGGAGGAGCTGCTGGAATCAGACAAGCTGGGCATCCATACACCCTGTGACCTTGGGCTAGGCTCCCTGAGCCTCAGTTTCCTCGTCCGTTAAAGAAGGACCATGATCCCTGACAGCTTGGGGATGGGGAGACGAGCCAGGGAGCCGGGCAGGGTGGATTTCCAGGCACGGCGGCTGCCATTATGCCATTGTCACTAATTCATGGGGACGCCCCCACCTTTGGGAAGCCTTCCCAGCCTGCTCAAGGGGGAAGTCAGACCCCCTTTCTGAACACCCACCGGGACCCCACACGAGACTCTTAAACTGGGAGCCACGTGTGCCATCCTGTCGCGCACAGACTCTCCTTTAAATGGGACAACACCCCCTCCCCCGCCCAGCCTTGGCGGCAACAAGGACACTGGCAACTTCTCTTTTCCTGGCTTCGTGCTTTAGATATATAAGCCTAAATGTTGCTTTTCTCGGGTGCTTTGCATTTAATTAGGTGTCCTAATAACAATGGAATCACTGAAGTACTTATATCACTTTGAATTAGTGGTATAGCATCTTCTAACTTCTTTAAAAAAATTTTTTTTCATATACCATTTTTTAAAATAGAGCTCATTATTTTAATTACATCCATTTAAACGTACAGGGGAGCCCTTGGATATTCTCAGCACGAATCATTAGGTATATTAGTGAAAAAGCACTCGGAATCTATCTCCATGCTGACACTCCATAATCTATTCTATTTGTGTCGCTGTAAAATAGATTTATATATAGATAACTACAAAATAGTTGCTCAAGATATGCTATGAATTTTATATTTAACCTGAGTCACACTTCAACATAAAATCTAAAGTCAGGCACTAAAAAGGATATTTCTCTGTAAGTAGTTATCGTCTGTGGCCACTGGTTCCTGCTCACGCCAGAATCCCAAGGGAGAAGCCAGACCCAGTGGGTCCCTGCGCAAGGATTTCCCCAAGAGCACTGACCCTTCACTGAGGCAACGGCTCTCAAAGTGTGTTCCCTGAGGGCTTAGGGGTTCCACAGCAATGGGTCAAAAGTACTCTTGAGGCCTCAATAAAGAGGGTGGCGTTGAGTGGGGCTCTGAGACCTCTGCTCCCTCTTTGATTTTTAGCCTGATGTATGTACACATGGACTTCTATCTCCCTGTCGTGGGGTAAACAGTGCTCCCCTATTCGAGATATCCCCATGTCCTAATCCCCAGAACCTATTTGAAAAAGGCTCCTTGCAGATGTATTTAATTTCAGGATAAGATGAGAATCA